ACATGCATAAAAATATTTCCTTTATAGGTTAGCTCATTCTTCCAATTGATATGTATTCAGAGCGACCCTGACTACCACTGTATTCATTTTCAAGGCATTTTACTGCATAGTTTTGGAGAAAACTAAAAGCAAAATCACCACAAACAACAAAATGCGTCCTAGCACTTGCACTGTGTCCCATTTTCCAACACTCATGAAAAGTGTTCCTTTATAGGTTAGCTCATTCTTTTAATTGATATGTATTCAGAGTGACCCTGACTATCACTCTATTCATTTTCAAGGCATTGTACCGTATAGTTTTGAAGAAAACTAAAAGCAAAATCACCCCAAACAACAAAATGTGTCCTAGCACTTGCACTGAGTCCCATTTTCAAGCAGTCATAAAAATATTTCCTTTATAGGTTTGCTCATTCTGTCAATTGATATTTATTCAGTGACCCTGCCTATTACTGTATTCATTTACAAGTCATTTTACTGTATAGTTTTAAAGAAAATTTAAGACAAACTCGCCCCAAAAAACAAAGTCCATTCAAGCATTAACACCATGCCTCATTTTCAAGCACTATATACATTATACACACAATGGCATTTTATGTTTTACTGTCATTTAATGTAGTGAATACCTTCTTTTTAACCATAAGAACTGATTATGTTCACCATCCATTTGAGAAGTTGTTATTTGTGTCCATGGTTACTAATTCCTCATCTTCAGTTTAGTTTCTTATATCTACGTTTTTATAGCCCTGTCAGTTTTGTTTATGTTTGTCGGTTGTTGTGTTTGTTTATGGTGATATGCCTGCAAAGCGTTTTTTTTTTATTTTTTACTTTCAGTCTATTGAATAAAACTGCTCAGCTGGAATTCCTCATTTCTCATCCTTGACTGAATCATTACAATTATATGGTATTGAGATGAACTGTTGAATTATCTATTTAAATGAAAATCTATACAACAAGTGGCAAATCACAGAGACAGGGAAAGACAGTTGATAACACAAAGAAAAATAAAAGTGATGCAGTGTAATTTCCCTGTTTGAATATCATCACACATTTATAAATTATTTGCTTTTGTTATTACAGAAAACAACTATGTGCATCTTGAAGAACAACAGCACTTTCAGCATGCTGTTTTACTCATGTGCAACCCATCAGACTGCACAACAGTGTCTACTGTGGCTTCAGCACCTGCAGACATTTATTGACTCTCTGCTGCACACTAATGCACACACCTAATAAAATAATATGTTTGTGTTTAATTGCTTAAAAATTACATATTTGCATTTGTATCTATTGTGAAGTGTCATAACACAGGTTACATAATGCCTATCACACCATCTGTCTGCAATTCAGTGTTTATAAAACTTGTTTGCATAGGTTGTACTGCAGTCTTCTGATATTCAAGCTTTTTGTACAGTAAAAAACAAAAAATAAAGACTAAGGAAAACTCTAAAAATATATATGTTGGAGGAAGAATAAGAAGTCAAGACATTGCATTCTCTTGCCAGCTTACTGCTCCATTTGTGTTGAAGTAGCTGCAGTATTCTTCTCTCACTTGTTTTGCCTGTAAAGATGAGTTTCTGTCTGAAGAAGCTGCAATAGGGCACAGACATTCTGGTTCTTCCCTCCAAGCTCCATGAATGAGTCGACCCGTTTCTGTGTCCTCCTGATCCACCAGACTGGGAGGCGTGTAGGTGTAACGGGTAAGGGATTCAGTTCTCAGGTAGTTGTGAAGAACACAAGCTGCCTTTGTTATTATTACAGTCTTGCAAGGTTCCAGTGTAATTGCTTGGCGAAAAACTCTAAATCTGCCAAGATTTCAAAAATATTTGCGACACAACGTTCTGCACGAGAGAGCCTGTAGTTAAAGATTCGCTTGTTGTTATCCAGTTGTGTTCTTGGGTATGGTCTCATTATCCATGGCTTCAAACCAAAGGCCTCATCTGCCATGACAACATAAGGGACAGGGGTCTGGCGTCCAGGCATGTCTTTTGGTGGTGGTATGTTCAGTGTGTTGTCTTCCAATGCCCGGCTCAGCCAATGCCTTGGCCCATTTAACGCCATTTGTCCCTACATCAATGTAAATACATTTCCAAAGCCCAAAAACGGGGCTGGAGCGCTTGAGCCAATAATAAATGTAGCCTATGTATATTTTCCAAATTTCTACAATACCGACAGCAGAACTGCTAACGTCAGAGCTTATTGATTCACCGGTTTTCACAATTTAGCCCCGAGGTAATTTAATACTGGGTTTCCATACCCATCCCAAGGCTACTAGCATTTTGAAAGCTAGCACATCTAAAAAAACAAAACAAAAAAAAAACATGAAGGAATATTTACATATAATATGAATTAATGTATGTAATAATTATGGCAAATTGTCTTTTAACCAGATATTCTATTTAGTTTTGTACTATATGTGATACTTAAGTAAAAGAACTGTTGAAACCAAGAAAACACTAACAGCTGCAAAAGTTTCCGCATCCATCTTTGCTGTGTCCGTCTCCATGGCAACAGATTTGCTCCTCTCTGATTGGTTGTTGCCAACTGTCCGTTGCCCTAATTTGTTGCCCTGTGTCTCACCTGGGGCCCGTTCTTCGTACGTCGCTAACTCAGTTGGATTTGATTGTTGACGATTTGGCATGATCTTGGATTGGTTGGTTCTTCAAAGCTCATCCTGGACTTGCTGTCATAGCAAAAGGTCCGTAAGCTTAAACCTGCTCGGGAGCAGGCTTATTTCATGTAAATAGGATTAGATTGCATCTTTTTAAGCAGAATTGATAGTTAAAATATGTCCCAGCCACCGCTACTTTATTACAAGAGTACCCTACTGATCCAGGGATAATAATTTAAAATAATAATAATTTAAAAATTAATTTAAAAATAATATAATAATGTTGTGTAGTCTATAATACTATAGACACACCCAGTTTTACTCATTGAAAGATTTATTTGTCATAAAATAATTACTTCATAATTGTAATAGAGTCTTACACACATGCTGTACAGTTAATGTAGAGTCGTGCATTAATTTGAGTGCTGACAACTATTATGGGAGTGGCTTGATGGAGCGCAGGAGATGCAGATAACTTGATCTTGACCCTTAAGACATTTTAATTAATGCTGTCACGTAGCAAATCTGTTTCAAAGATAAAATTAAATGAATTGCTAATTGCTACATTGAAATAAAAATGTAAAGCCTGTACAAAAATTTGAAATCGTGAATATAAATAATTGGAAATCATGTAAAAAAATTAAAGTAGAATAAAAACAGTGGCACATTTCATTTATCGATTATAAATTTTATGTAGTTTTGTTCGCTTGGCTGTTTCCTTATAAAAGTCCAGAAACGTGTCAAGTTTTTCGTTAGGTGTCTTTTTTAATTATATGATGTCATTACGCTGCTGTCTTGCCGCCAGCCAATCGCTGCATTGCTGATCATGGTTTCGAGTATCGATACATAACCCCTTTAAAACCAACCCATGAACGCACAGTTATCTCAGATAACTCAATCCAGCCATACTAATCATCAACAACAGGTGCGTTCGAAGAACCGAATTAGCCAGATCCTGATTAGCGCAATGATATCATCTTGGCTGTGTCATTTGATCTTGTTGTAATAAGTGACGTACGAAGAACAGGCCCCTGGTTGCCAGTGGCCGGGCAATATTGCTCAAAAAGTTGCCCCGTGTATCATCACCTTCAGACTTTCATTCATGTAAGTTTCAATGAAAAATGAGATTTCTGTTCCTCCATTGACAGTCCACACAACTACTACTTTGATGCTTCAAAAAATTCATAAAAAGATTGAATTTTTACACATCACATCACATCAAGTTACACATCAAGTTTGAGATTCCACAAGAACCAGTGAAGTTTGTTCTCATGCGTCAAGCAAGTATGGTTGAGCATCTGTTTGTTCAATGTTTATATGTGAATAAAAGACTAAGTTCAGTTTGTTAATCATATAAAGCAATTGAGTCTCTTCAGAAAATTTGGACAAAACTGCTCTATTCATATGGATGAGTTCATATGGATCATATGGATCTTCTGTCTGCCGTGCTGCTGAGTGGTTTGTGATTGTAGCTCCGTGTAGCTTTGCTTTTCTGTTAAATCTCTATCTTACTATCACTCTCTGTTGTTTAAAGTGATAAAATATAACTTAACTCCCACCATATTTCAGCTGTTCAGAGCGGATCGCGACGCAGAATCAACGGGGAAATTGCGTGGCGGCGGGACATGCTTTTACATCAACGAAAGGTGGTGTACAGATGTAACAGTGTTAAAGAAGATGTGCTGTCCCGATATAGAAGCGCTTTGGTCCAGACTATCCAATTCAGTGAAATATTTAGTCCATAACACATTTATATGTTGATAAACATCCACGGAATGTAGGAGTATCATTTCAAATTAGCCGACGGAGCAATCAAATCTTCGGCGCATTCTGAAGTATAGCTTGTTTTCACACATACACATCACGGATTCATTGTGGTCAAAATGGCAGCTGACCGCTGTCCTTTTGATTGACACCTTATTTGAACCAATAGCTGAATCTATGAGGTGTTTACAGGCAGCGATAGCCAACTAGCTTCCAGGATGAAGAATGGTGCAGCCTCTCTTTGATGGACAGTAGATCGATCCAATTGCATCAGAGTTCGCAAATGACTGTCGTTTCTGATAGCCAATGAACTTCTGAAAAGAATAATATGCGACTTTAGTGGGAGAGTTTAACATATAGTGTGCAGAAGTCCGTGCGCAAAAGATTATAGTGACTGGATTATAGTGATTATAGATTATAGATTATAGAGATTATAGTGACTGGATTATAGTGACCGTGCGTAATGAACGCTCTATGAGAGATAACGGGTAAAAGGTGGTTATTGGTAAAAAACTATCAAAGAGAACGCGAAAAACAAACCTTTTGTTCTAAGAAGTTGTTAAATAATGTATAACAATAAAATTGGTAAGACAATAAAAGTGTTTTTTGACGGAGAGAGCGATGTTTCATCCATTGAAGCAGATGAGAGGAGATGCTTTTGGATGGAGGAGACGTCGCTCTCAACAAGTAAGTGTTTTATTATATTATATAATTATATTTATATATATTTTACATATAATTATGTATATTATACATTTTACTGTATATATTGAGGTATGTGTTTGTGGTGTTCTTGCTAACTTCTGTCGTGTGTATGTGTGTGTGTGTCAAATCAAATCAAATCTCTTTATTGTCACACATCGTGTACACAAGTGTAACGATGGTGAAATTCTTGGGTACAAGACTCTGTGCCATGGCAGTACAAGCAACAAGATATGAAAAATTAACAGTATACATAAATAACAATATACACATTTTACACAATATACAATTTTTTCACAATATACAATAGACAATTGTACACAATATACACATTTCCATAATATACACATAGTACACAGTATACTCAAGAGACTTAAAAATGTATAGCTTTTATATATG